ACAATTTTCCTTCTTCAGCTTTCATCTCTTTGGAAAATGTCACCAACCTGGAGTTAACTAGTTGCCCACAGACCTTTTGAGGAGTCAGGCCCAAAGCAACCCTGTGGAGACCCAGAAAGGCTGAGCCAGTCTGGGATCCCCCGGGCAGGGAGGGGCAGCTCCAATCTCTGCTCTCCAGCAGGGGAAGGCTGGGCTGGATTATTGTAGGAAAAGATTCTTCCCCCAGAGGGTGGTTGGGCACTGGCCTTAATTAGGTCACCCCAGAGCTTTTCTCCTCCAGGCTGAACAGTCCCCACACTCTCAGCCTTTCCTCCCAGCAGAGCTGCTCCATCCTCTGGCCTTGCTCCAAGAGATCCATGTTTCCTGTGCTGGGGACCCCAGAGTTGGAGGCAGCACAGGTGGGGTCCCACCTGACCCCCTGCCCTATTGCCCACCCTGCTGGCACAGATCCCAGCACTGCCCAAACCCCTGCCCTGCTGCAACCCAACCTCAGATGTGCCCCAAGGTCCCCCAAAGTGCTCAGCCCTCAGCACCAGCTGTGCCAGCTCCTGGGATGGGGCCCTGGCCAGTCTCTCCACTCCAGGCAGGGCAGGGTGGGCAGGAAGGTGCACACTGGCAATGCCAAGTGGGCAGCTGCTTCCAAGAGCTCAGGGGCAGACAATGGTGACCTTTGCCAATGCACTGCTCCCAGTGACTGGCCTGGGCAGCTGGATTTAATGGCCTGGCTTGGGCAGATATGGCTGAAATATCTCAGACCTGTCAGATTTTTTTTTTGCACCCCCTAAAGCACCAAATTATTCACCATTCTCTTGTAGCATTTTGCAGCCAAGTCTCCTGTGACGATTTTCAAAGGATGAGGAATGATCACCCTGGTGACATTTCTAGTATCTATAAATATCTCCCCACTCCCCTGCCTGCCCAACTGGTGAATTATGCAGGGAGATGTATATAATAAAACAATCCGATTAATTTTGTTGTCAACAGCCCATTCTTCTTTAGCTGGCAAGAGAACAGCCCAGGCTGTGGCTCTGGAAAGAGCAGGCAGTGCCTGGGGAGTTACTGAGCTTCTCCTTTCCTGTAGGTTTGAGGGGCAACAGCGAGCAGAGAGGCCCTGGTGTGCTGGAAAAAGGAGGAAAGGTTTTGAAAGAGAAGCAGCCTGAAATTTATGATAGTAACAGTCTCCAGAACATCAGGAAATCCCACAAACAGAGCACTGAGAATCACAGAATCACACAGAGAATCCCTGAGGTTGGAAAAGCCCTCCCAGCCCATGGATCCCCCCTGTGCCCCATCCCCACCTTGTCCCCCAGCCCAGAGCTCTGAGTGCCACAGCCAGGCCTTCCTGGGACACCTCCAGGGGTGGGGACTCCAAACCTCCCTGGGCAGCCCCTGCCAAGGCCTGACCACCCTTTCCAGGAAGAAATTCCTCCTCCTGTCCAACCTGATCCTCCCCTGGTGCAATTTAGTCCATGTCCTCTCATCCTGTCTCTTGTTCCTGGGAAGCAGAGCCCGACCCACCCCTGCTCCTCCCTCCTGTCAGGTGGTTGTAGAGAGTGAGAAGGTCCCCCATGGTAAAGAAACATTCAAGAAATACCTAAGAAGGACTAATCCAGCATGGTGGATTATCCAGAGCACGATGCACTTACTCTACATTCTGGTCCTGCTTTTCTGTGTTTAATTCAACTGAGCTCTGTTTAAGCAACTGAACCTCCTGAATGGTGAAATCCACAGAGAATTTAATGTGCCCAACTTTGCAAAGCCGTGGGAAGTGACCAGTGTACATTACACATCTAATTGGCAGGTTTTAATTCAAACTGTGAGGGATTTAATTTAATAGGATAGCTTTCCCCAGCTAACAGACCTCTTCTAGCCAGGTACTCATTATGTGGGATAGTCCACAGACTCTCATTTATGGGTTAGAGGCATTTTAAAATAGGCAGCTTAAACCAGCTCTCTCCGTTGCTTCAGATATTTGCAGATGGCTTTTGCTAAGCCACAACTAACTTCTTCATCATTAATTTTTGGGGCTGTACCTTGGAGACACTGCCTGGCAATTAAACAAAGTTCTTACCAGAGAGTTTTCCCACCTTCCCTTCAAACTTCCAGAAGTTTGCCATTCTCCAGGACTGCAAAACCAAGGATTTGGTATCTTCTCATTCCTGCAAGAAGAGCTGTTTTGCTGCTCAGAGCAAGAAAGTTCCTGTGGACCTCCTGCAAAGCCTGAGGACTTTACCCTCCTGCAGGACTCTCAGTGGGAGGATAGTTGATACCCTGGACTGGCAGAGTTGACCATGTCTTCTCCAGTGTGTGCTGAGGCCACCCATAAAGCTGCTCAGTTTGATATGAAGCTCTGAGAGACCAAACCCTGCCCACAGACACACTGTCCTGGTTTAACCCCAGTAGCAGCCAAGCCCCAAACACCCCCTGGTTCCCTCCCTCCCACAGGGATGGATTAAGGCAAAAGGGCAAAAGTATGAAAACTGGTGGGTTGAGATAAAGAAACTCGTGGGTTGAGGTAAAGGCAGTTTAATAGGTAAAGCCATAGGTGGATGGAGCTTCCAGGTGCTGCAAGACATGGAGCACAGCAGAGCTCAGAGGGGACAACTTCCTCAGGAGGGGCAGAGGAGGGGCAGGGACTGAGCTCTGCTCTGGGGGGACCAGGGACAGCAGCCAGGGAATGGCTGGAGCTGTGCCAGGGCAGGCTCAGGTTGGATCTCAGGCAAAGGTTCTTCCCCCAGAGGCTGGTTGGGCACTGCCCAGGCTCCCCAGGGCAGTGGGCACAGCCCCAAGGCTGCCAGAGCTCCAGGAGGGTTTGGCTGATCCTCTGGGGCACAGGGGGTGACTCTTGGGGATGGGCCTGTGCAGGGCTGAGGGTTGGGTTTGATGATCCTTGTGGGTCCCTTCCAACTCCGCACATTCCGGGATTCTGGGATTCCCAACTCCCAGGGCCCAGCCCCTGCAGTCCAGAGCGATGCTCTGTGTGTCTGGCTCACTGCCTTCTGCACACTCAGCTCTGCTCTGGGAACACATTAGTTCTCACCCACCCAGTCAGGATTATAAATGTTAAATACCCAGGCAGGTTTGTTCCTCCCACCTGACCCCCTGTTTGCTCCCTGTGCTGTGATTAAACACATGGCACAGGCCTACAGGCAACTTCTAGGGACTAGTCTGGGAATAATGATTTTTATTAGCGTGGTGGGTTGACCTTGGCTGGACACCAGGTGCCCACCCAGCCACTCTATCACTCCCCTTCCCTGCCAGACAGGGGAGACAGTAAGGCGAAAAAAACCACTCGTGGGTCGGGATAAGGCAGTTTATTTAAAGCCAAAAGTAAAGCAGAAGCTTGCATGAGCAAAAGCGAAGCAAAAGATAACAGGGTTTGTTCTCTACTTCCCATGAGCACCCTCTACAGTTGGTGGATCCATCTTTGGGTATTATAATGTTACCTGACTGTTAGAATATGACTCAGGGGAGCTTTGAACCACCTTCCTCCACATGGCCATTGTGCAAGGGACATCCTCTGGGTCTTTGGGGGTGTCATCCCTTCTTAGGTTACCATAGATGATTTCCAGCACTGCTAATTCTCTCAAGTACTGGACACCTTCATCTGCAGTGGCCCCACTTTCTCAGGGAGCTCATTAGATCTGCCTTGAATGGATCCCTTTCCCTCACACTTGGGAGGAGCCGTCTCCAAACACTGCAAATTGTTCTCTCCTTTCCAATTCCTCTTTCAATTTGGCCTTCTCTGGTAAGGGATCCCACCTGGGCTTCAGATGTTGATTATCAGCCCCATTGTCCCAGCATTGAAGCAGCCAGGCAGGAATCCATTCACCGGGCTGGCAGCTGGAATCTTTCCACAAGTCCCACAGTTCTGATGAGGGCAGGGACTGGGTAACTTCAATTTCCTGTTTGAGTTGTCTGACTTCCTTTGTTGAAGAACCAGCTTTCTTATCTGCCCCCTCCTCTCCTTCTACTCCTTCTCCTTCTTCTCCTTCCTCCTCTTTCCCCCTTACTAATCACTGATATGGCCCTGTAGCTTCCCTTATCCATTTCTTCCTTTTCACCACTGGGGCAATGACTACAGTTGCTGTGCTTTGAGTCCCTGTCTCAGCCATAGTGTCTTCCATTCCAGTTTGGGTCCCTACCTCCACTACAGTCTTCTGAGAGTATTGAACTGTGGCTCAATAAGCACAGGCCAGGACCCAGTACAGGGCAAGAAGCTGCTGGTTTTGATTGGGATAGGCAAAGTACCTTCCATCAGGTGATGTGTCAGTTTGCCAGGGTCAAATACCTGTTCAGGTGTGAAGTCCCAGGTAACAGGAAGTGTCAAATGCCTTGGGAACCTGCCCGGATCCTTCCACACACCTGCCCCCCAGGAACTGGGCACCTCAGGGTGCATCCCAATATATCATCAACTAAAAGGTTGTTTTCTCCTACACCAGGATAACACCAGGTTCCAAGAACTCCCTAATGTGCTGACAGTATTAGTTGGCAACAGTAACATTACCAAACAGCTCACATAAGGATTAGCAAGGAGCATGGGAGACTTCATTATAAAGCCATTTATATCAATGCCAGGGAAGGGGGAAAGGGTGTGTTCCTCCATCGTCCTCAGACAGCTCCCCAGAAGACAACTTCCCAAGCATAACAAGGCCATTAATGTAAAAGCAAAGCATGGAGCCATTGTTTAGATTAGTATGTTCCCAAAACTTAGCAAAATAAAGTGATAAGCAGTGCAGCCAGTGAACTCTGTGTCCCACACAGGAACTTTCTATTCAATAGCTACTATCACTACAAAATGCTATATTTATATATAATATATAAAACTGCCTTTATCTCGCCCCACGCTGGGTGCCAGGAAGGACTGTGGTGGGTTGACCTTGGCTGGAGCTCACCCAGCCACTCTATCACTCCCCTTCCCAGCTGGACAGGGGAGAGAGTAAGGTGGAAAAAAACCCACAACTCATGGGTTGGGATAAGGCAGTTTATTTAAAGCAAAAAGTAAAGCAGAAGCTTGCACTTGCAAAAGCAAAGCAAACAGGGTTTATTCTCTACTTCCCACGAGCAGTGATGGGCGGCCCCTCCCGGGAAGCAGGGCTTGGGTACACGGGACGGTTCCTCAGCCACTGGACACAGTGAATGTCCCCTTCCTGCTCCTTGCCTCAGCTTCTGTATCTGAGCTGACATCATATGGTCTGGAACATCCCTTTGGTCAGTTTGGATCAGCTGGCCTGGCTGTGTCCCCTCCCAGGATCTTCCCTCGATTGAGGAGGGAATGTTCCAGTGCTGGTGCTGTGCTCAGCAGCAGCCAAAACCCCCGTGTGTTATCAACACCCTTCTGGCCAGTGCCCAGCACAGCACTGTGAGGGCTGCTGTGGGGAAAGGAACTCCAGCTCAGCCAGACCCAATAAGTCTCTATGACCATGAAAAATTCTCTTAATAACCCCTGTGCTCTACTTTTACAGTTGATTCCATTAAGCACATTGGATATTAACACTATTTTCAGTGTTTCTAAAATTTAGAAAATTAGCAAGAAACAGTTTATAACCACAACATCTGCTCACCTCCCAGCTTTCAACATCACACACATGGCAAAGAAACACAGAGAAAAGAACAAGGTCTGGAGAATTTCACAATTCACTGGACTATCTGAGTGTTTTGGAAAAGTCCACTGATTTTAAAACTACTTTGGAATATAAAATACAAATAAAAATTAGATTTAGATTTAGATATTCCACACCTCTGAGTGTGGAATATCAGGCTGCAGGCTGGGATCTTCCAGTGCTCCAGGGTAGGAATTCCAAGATCTGGATTTACAGCAGCCATGAGCCTGGTCCACGTGTCCCTCTGCACCTCTGTCACCTCTCACAGGCTCTGTCATGGCCATGTCCCCAGTGCTCAGAGTCCTGGGGACTGAGTCCATTGGAGAGATGGAGCTTGGGCTAAACCTCAGCATTTAATTGTTTAAATTGCCTGAGGAAGGCAATGTTGGGATTTGCAAATGAGGGGTGTGGTGGTGCCCCTAGACCTGCAGCAGCAGGACCACACCAGCCAGCACCCACTTGGCAGGGTTGTCCTTGGTTTTAAGGTTGAAAGTCCACACGTAAGTTGGGCCTCTCTGGCGTGTTTTGTAGAGAGGACATGGGTACATGCCCCTGGTGTCCTGTTTGTCAGCAGGGATGGCCCTGATGAACAGGACAGGCATGGCTGGGGTGAGCTCCTTGAGCCTGGCATCGGTGATCAGCCCGGCCTGCAAAGGAAAGGAGACAAAGCTGAGTTAGAGTTCAAGGTGTCCATCAGCTGCTCCATCCCAGCATCATCTTCTGTGATTTTTATACAGGTGGGTCTTACTGGGGAAGTGCAAACAGCTTTCCTGAGCTCAAGGGGCTGGATGAGTCTGAGGGAAGGAGGGTCTGGATCCAACACCTGCCCTGTCTCACCACGAGCCTCTCTCAGTGTGGTTATCTCAAGGGTACAGAGCCTGCCTCCCATCAGGTGCTCACACCCACACACATCTGAGCAGGACTTCGTGGGGGAACAATGTTCTTGGCTCTGTCCAGCCACATTATGGGCAAAGTCTTCACTTCTCTTGTTCTGGCTTCTACTGTGGTGCAGCTCGAGGCCATTTCCTCGTCCTATTGCCAGGCAACAAGGGACAGGAGGAGAGGGAACGGCCTCCAGCTGTGCCAGGGGAGGATCAGGTTGGATATCGGAAGGAATTTCTCCCTGGAGAAGGTGGTCAGGGCTGCCCAGGGAGGTTTGGAGTGCCCAGCCCTGGAGGTGTCCCAGGAAGGCCTGGTCGTGGCACTCAGTGCTCTGGGCTGGGGGACAAGGTGGGCATCGGGCACAGGGGGGATTCCATGGGCTGGGAGGGCTTTTCCAGCCTCAAGGATTCTGGGATTATTCTCATGTAGCTCTTTCTCAAGGTTTTGCCAGACCAGACTCCCCTCGTGGGAAGTGTTGCTTGTGGCAGGAGCAATGGTGGGCACCTGAACTGGGCTGGGGATGGAGAACAACACTCACTAAAAGTCACCAAGTGAGGTTCCATCCCACCACCAAAATGTGAGCACTTGGTTGGGAAATGAAATGCACACAGTGGTTTGTGTGGCCCCAAAAGGCAGCCCAGGCTGGTTTCCCCTCTCACAGGTGCTCACTCCAACAAGGAGGTCTGTTCCTGAGGGAATATTGTCACCTTCAGAACAATGCCCTGCCCAGGTTGCCCAACACAGGACAAGGACAGTGCTCTGCCAGGGCAAGAAATCTTGTTTCTCTCATTTGGGTTTCTCTGGGATCTTCTGTCTCCCTTTCTGACAATAAAATGCCCTACACATCAATCCATTTCCAGGGAGCTGCAAAATTGTTAATGGAGGTTAGAGAGACCAAATGAAAACAAATAGAGAAACAGAAATAAAGCTTTTCAGTGCTAGAGAAACAGCCTCTCCCTGCAGCTGATCCTCACATATCATTATTATTTCCAGTGCTCTTACATCAGGGCTGTGGAATGAGGTTCAGCCTCTCCAGTAGTTTATTTAGTTCTGCAAATGAGTGAAGAAAAATAATCCCTCTTGCCACACACCTCAGTTTAATTGTACTAATGCCATCTGTTATACTGAACTGTGATAAATCCAGCTCTCATTTAGGATTTTATATTTTCAACGTGCTGAACAAACATTAAATAATTCTTATAAAACCTTGCAAAGTAGCTATTTATTAAACATTGTTATGCACTCTTTTGAAATCTACATCTTTCAGTTCTGAGACTGGATTTTGATCAGTTCTCTTTTTTTTTTTTAACTGCTAGGACTGCTTCAAATCAAGTTTCCAAGATATATTCTACTTGTTTCTGGGTTAACAAGAGTTGAAAACTTTCTGAGGTACTTCCATGTAACACATCATTTTGTTATGTCTGGGCTGATTTGCATTTGTATTTTTTATCGCTCTTATGATCAGAAATTAATTCTACTCTGAAAGCAATTTTTCCTGACTACTGGCACAGCTTTTCCTGGTGCAAAGCTCAGGGAGCTCAGGCCTCAGATCCTGACAAACCCCTTTCTGCTTGTCCTGGCTTCCCAACAGGCCACTGAGAGGGAACACGTTGATGGGTCTGAAGACACAAACCAGCTGTCACGAGGCAGGGGTGGGGAATGATGGGCCCAGCTCCAGATCCAGTGAGACAACACCCAACACCCCTCACACTCTGTGCACACTGAGGTGTCACCAGCACAGGGGCCCTCCCAGCACAGCCCAGTTGGGCTCAGTTGGCCCAAGGACCCCAGCACAGCTCAGCTGCCTTTGGGACACTGGAACCTGTTTGCAGGGAAGAGGGGTTGGTGACCAGCAGAGGAGCAGCAGAAACATCACCCCAAGGGGGTCCAGAGGGTGATGGGGTTTGTGGCTTCAACTAGGCCAGGGGAGTGAGAAGAAATTCTTCCCTGGGAGGGTGGGGAGGCCCTGGCACAGGTTGCCCAGAGAAGCTGTGGCTGCCCCATCCCTGGAAGTGTCCAAGGCCAGGTTGGACGGGGCTTGGAGCAACCTGGGCTAGTGGAAGGTGTCGCTGCCCATTAGATGAGCTTTAATGTCCCTTCCAACCCAACCCATTCCATGACTCCATGGTTCCATGACAAGGGGCTGTGCTGTCTGCACCTGGCAAGGCTTCACTTGCCACACGTGGTGTAAAAGCCACCTCTCCCCTTGGGGAGTTGCAGGGCACATACTTGGCATCAAACTCGCCATTGCTGGGAGCAGGAAAGCCAGGAATCAGTCAGCAAGGCTCCCCTGGCTTGAGATAAAATGTCTCAGAGTGTCCCCAGTGGAAGCATCTCTCACTGAGTGCCACTGACTTGAACAGGGCTGCAGCAACACATCATTTGCACCCAAAATAATCTGCTTAGTTTCATTTCATTTAATAGCTGCCTGCTGGTTTGTAATGAATGTTTTATAAATTTAAGACACCCAAGGGCAAATATAAATGTTTAAATAAATAGAAAAATGTGTGTAGCAGAACATAGAGGGACTTTTTCCTTTTTTGGAGGCACAGCCTAAATGTGAAATATTCTTTTAAGAGTGGAGGTGTTCCCCAGAGGATGCTTCTAAATAGGGCCTGCCATTTTTATCAGAGGATTAATTTGGAAGGAGTATACAACCCAAAAGAGCTGTGCACCTGTTTTAAAAGTCCTGCATCCATTAATATACTGGTGCTCACTGGATTATAGGTGAAATGAATAGTTCTACTCAGTGGAAATGATATTTCAGTGTGAGCAGCAACCCATGAAAATATCCTTTTCCTTTCTGAAATAAATTGAAGCGTGATACCCAGAGATTATGAATGGTTCCATAAAGGTATTTGCTCAGTATCTTTCAATCACAAGGAAAATGTAATCAGAAAAACACAGTTACTGGGGCTGGGATGGTCCCTGCAGACAAAGCTCATTGCTGAATGCAATCACCTGGACAAGTTATTAGGGGGAGGCAGAGGGGAGAAGCCACATGTTTCCCAAAAGATTTTTGGCTTTGCACCACCAAAAACTTCTCACTCTTCCCTTCCAGCCCTGCCTGGCGCTGGGTAAAACCTGGGCAAAACCTGGGCAGGACTCAGTTCTAGTAATGGCAGCAAGGATGGTAAAGGAAAATGTAACATCAGTCACTGGATATTTTTTACATGGAGTATTTGATATGGACGATCAGGAATTTTTTTAAACTTTCTCTGTTGTGTGGTGTCCAGTTGGTTTGTACCTGTCAGATGTCAGGGTTTGAGGGCAGCTGAAATGCAGTGCTGCCTGTGGTGAGGGCTGTGATTCCAAGGGGGTGTGTGTGGCAGCCACACCACAGACTTAGAGAAGGGAATAGTCAGGGAACTGTGGGATCAGGGCTGGGACAAACTGGGCTGGTCCCCGTTCTGCTGCTGGGAGCTCTGCTGTGAGCAGAGCAAAACCATGGAGGGGATCTGACACGACACCCATGAGACCTTCACTGCAATCCCCTGACAGAGCCTTTGCCCATGTTCCTGACTGCCTGTGGCTTTCCAGACCCAATGTACATGTCAACCCATTTCCAGGGTGAAAAAGGGCCTGGAAGTTTGACCTTCCCAAGGATTTGTGATCAAATTCACTGGATGGCATCACTCAGTGAGGTCAAAGGTTTGCCTAATTTCCTGTCCTTCATGGAAAACCATTGCAGAGAGGGAGCTGACAAATAAGTAGTGAGTGTTGGACATGAACTGCAAGGTCAGGCTGGGATTCAGGATCTAAGAGATTCCTCAGTAGCTGCCCACCAAGTCCCACAGCAGATAAAGTGGGATTTTCGAGGTTAAGACTTGGAGTCTTAAGAGCTGGCTCTGGGTAAAGAGCTGTGTCTGACATAAAAGCCTCTTCTTGTGAGAGGGTAAATTTGACACAGATCAGAAGGTTCTGGGTGACCCACTTTGGTCAGTGTTCTTTCTCTCACAGATCCCTGGCAGCAGCAGCAGAGCACAGGAAGAGCTGCAGGAACCACTGTCCTTGAATTCCCACGCATGGCACAAACTGGGAATCACAGCCCCACGGGCCAGGCAACTCACAGAACCAGACCCAGAGGGAATTGTCAGTCTGAGGGCTCTGGCTCTGCAGGCTGTGCTCCTGCAGCTGACAACTGTCAGAAGGACTCACAGGGAGAGCTGTGCTCCTTGGGATGCTGCTCCAAGAGGAGGCCACAGCTCCACAGGCAGGCACAGCAGGTGCCCAAGGGGTGGGGTATGGTCCTCATCTTGGCTGCCTGAGGCTGTGCTCCAGCTGAAAGGTGTCCCTCTCACCCAGAGGGGGAAGAAGAGCAATGGACACTCACTCTGTTCTGCTTGTCCAGGGTCAGCCCACCCCCCATCCTGAGTCACCAGCCTGAATCCATGTGGACCATCCAGGTTAGACCTTCATCAAGCTTTATTTAAGGGAATGGATAAAGAATATGATTCATTTTGGTCACATCCTGCAGCACCTGACAATGAAAGCACAGTGCTCTGGGTGTGGCACATCCCACCCATCCAGCCCTGAGGATGTGAGCACGTAGGAAAGCAGAGTCCTCTCCTCTCTCCCCACTGCTGCCAAACAAGCAACAGAGCAGTGACCCCACAAAAATCTGTCACTTTTGGTGGCAGCAGTGAAGTCACACCATGTGGAGGTGTGGGGACAGTGCAGCTCTGCCAGGACCCTGTGGTGTCTGTAGCAGGACCTTGAGTACTGAGCACAGTTCAGTCAGCGTACACCTGGGCTGGGATTCAGCTGGGACACACTGGATGTGTCAGTCCAGGCTGAGCACCCTGGACTCCCTTCACAGCCATGGAACTGAGCTCCAAAGTGTGATTCCTCTGACCACCTTAGACACCCACTCTGGGCCACCCAGGAGAGGCCCAGATCTCCCATCTGTCCTTCCTGAGGAGGTAGCTCAGATGACTCTTTCAGATGAGAGCCTGTCCAGGCTGAGAAGTTTCCTGAGTGCAGCACCAAGGAATAAGGACATGACATCCACGGCTTCCCTCCCAACCCAAGAGCCTTGGTGAGCTCACCTGTGCATCCCAGCGTGCTCCTTCCATGAACAGGCCATGGACATAGGCCCCTTCCCGAGGGGGGCTGGCAAAGTCCTCTCTGCTCTTCTTTGTCACATCACACTGCAGGGCCATCCTGTCCAAAGGCCACTTGTTCTTCCGGGCCGTGGTCTGCATGATGGCCGTCAGGATGGACTGGGGGTTGAAGAACCCACCAAGCCACACCGTGCAGGGCAAGGAGAAGTCTCCAGTCCAGGTGTCCAGCTCGCTGATGCGAGCGAGGAGGTCAGTGAACCACGTGCCCAGGCTGGCTGTGGAAGGGTAGGACCTCCTCCCCCAGGACTCGGGCACCATGTCCAAGAAGAGGGCATTCTGCAGGCTCTCCATGTCGCTGGTCATGGTCAGCTCTCCCTGTGGGAGAAAGGGCACAATTAGCACTGATAACTGTTCAGCAAAGGCTGTTCAAGCAGAAGCTGGGCTGGGACGTGAGGAACAGCAGCTCACCCCACACAGTCACTGGGGGTCATGGACTGTGAAGGGCTTCAAGTGTTTGGGGTTATCCTGAACACCTTCTGTTGCACATTCCTGCATCCTCATCTTCCCTGCTGTAAACACACAACTGGGAGGAGAAGCTGTGGGACAGTGAAAGGGGTGTCCCTCAGTTGGCCTCTTTTTTTTTCTGTTTGGACTTGTGGACTGAAGATTTGTTAGAGCCAATTTTCAAAGGTTCAAAGCTGTTCTCATTCACTGCCAGGGCAGGACACTGGAGTCTCTAATGATCTACTCCAAAACTGTCCAAATGTTTGTTAAGTCAAGTCCTCTCCCCTCCTCTCCTCCACTTCCTCTCCCTCCTCTCCTCATCTATTGCTTTGCAGTGCAAGATTTTCTTTTTAACTTCACGTGTTGTCTGCAAATGTAATCACAGTTCCTTCCACAGCAGGGAAACACACAACAAAGTAAGATATGATTCAGCCAAGTGAGATAAAGAGAAAGGTTTGACGTATCCTTTATGCAGCAATTAATTAGTTCTAAAGCTTTTAGAAACCCAGATCACTTTTTTTCAGGCAGAAGAGCTGGAACATCATTGCCTGGCCAAAGAGGGGTTCTGCACATCAACAACACATCCCTCTTGAACTCGTGGTGCTCTGCAGAGGGTTCCCATGGCCTGAGAGACTAAAATTAAGAAAATTCTTGCTGTATCCAGCTGAAATCTTATGAAATCTAGATGAGAGATGTCTGGATGTTACCAAGGCTAAAGGACAGCTGGGAGAGGCCGTTCAGAGCTGCAGCAGGTTGTGCAGCAGGTTGCACCAGGGGACACACAGATGGAGCTCACCGGGGTACAGCTGGGGTGGTGACACTCCACGAGTCATTGTCCCCACCTGGGGCAGCTGACTCTGGCACAGCAGAGGCTCAGCTCAGGCCAAGCTGCTGCCAGGGGCTGTGCCTGGGACTGCAGCAGTGCCTGGAGCCTCTCTGAGCCTGGGATAGGTTGGAGACCGTGTCCTTGTCATGGCACTGGTGAGGCCACGTCTGCCGTGCTGGGACCAGTGCTGAGGATTGCTCAGCCCCAGGGAGAGGTGGCTCAGGGGGGTTCTCAATGCCTGTGAACATCTGATGGCAGGAAGCAAAGAACATGGAGCCAGACTCTTCTCAGGGGTGTCCAGTGACAGGACATGAGGCAATGGGAACCATTGGAAATACAGGACATTCCATCAAAATACAGTGTCAGGGTGGCTGAACACTGTAACAGGTTATCCAGAGAGGCTCTGAGTCTCCATCCTTGGAAGTTTCCAAACCCAACTGGAGTAGGTCCCAGATAACCTGTCCCTGCTTTGGGGATGGGGTTGGACTAGACAATATCCTGAACAACTAATCTGTGATTCTGCCCCACTCAAACCAAGCAAGGCTGCAAATAAAAAACCTGCAAACACAGGCTCAGCTTCCCCTGTATGGAATGATCAGATAATGTTGATCACTGGTTTCCATTATAAAAACTTCCTTTTATCCCCTTATCATTTCACCAGAATTTATTTGACTTACAGTTTCTCTTTGCCTCAGGCTGAGTGTTTTTGGAAAGATCAACTGAAATCAGTTGAGCCATTGCTGAGAACAAGGGTGAGGGAATTGGGTCAGTCTATTCACATTAAAAAATTCCAACTGTTCTTTCCCAGGATGTCAGTGCCTCCAGCCATGAGGTCAGCAGAGGTGCCCTGTACTGGGGCCACAAAAATCCAGGAAGCTTTAGCAAAAGTTGAAATCTGCTCAAAGCACCTCACCCCCACACACCTTTAGCAATTCTTGGCAGACCCAGCAGTTCCAAATCTTTGCAGTTTGTTCCTGGGCTGACCATGCCCTGCAGGGCTCTGACCTGCAGGTCCCACTGCCAGGCTCCAGAGGGACAAGGTCACAGCTGGACACCCACCAGAGCACAGGACACAGGAGGGTGCCCTGGGTGATGGAACATGGTGCATCCAACACCAACAAGTGGAAGCTCTGCATGGAGTGACTGAGGCTTAGAACCACAGAACCATGGAATGGTTAAAGCTGGAAAAGACCTTTAAGATCACCAAGTCCAACCATCAACCCACCCCCACCATGTTCACCACTAAACCACGTCCTCAAGCGCCACATCCACATGTTTTTTGAACACTCCCAGGGATGGTGACTCCACCACTGCCTTGGGCAGCTGTGCCAGGGCTTTACAACCCTCTCCATGAAGAAATTTTCCCTAATATTCAATCTAAACTTTCCCTGGTGCAGTTTGAGGCTGTTTCCTCTTGTCCTGTCCCTTGTTTGCTGGGAGAAGAACCTGACCCCCACCTTTCTCCAGCCTCCTTAGGGCAAACCAGGCTTGCTCTGGGGTCAGCAAGTCCTTCTGTAAAGAGCCCAGAGCCTCCACCTTGGCAGACAAGTGTCCAGGGCAGCAGTGCCCTGAACCAACCACAGCCCTGGGAGCTGCTGGGTGACAGCTTCAGCAAGGGCTTTGGACACACACCTGCCCCACACACTGTTGTGTGGGAGGAAGGAGGGCTGCCAGCTGAATTCAGGCCTTGGAAATGTCCACTCAAGCACTTCTGGCTTTTTAGAACTTGACTTACAAACCCTATTTTTTTCTCTTTTTTACCCTTTTTCTTTTTCTTTTCTTCTTCTTCTTCTTCTCCTTCTTCATATTTTTCTTCTTCTTCTTATGCTTCTCCTTTTCTTCTTCTCCTTCTTCATATTTTTCTTCTTTTTCTTCTTCTCCTTCTTTTCTTCTCTTTCTCCTCCTCCTTTTTCTTCTTTTTCTTTTTCTCCTTCTTTTCTTCTCCTTCTCCTTCTTTTCTTCTTCTCCTTCTTTTCTTCTTCTCCTTCTTCATAATTTTCTTCTTCTTCATCTTTTTCTTCTTCTCCTTCGTCTTCATCATCGTCTTCTTCAGCATATTTTTCTTATTATTATTTGTTTTCTCTTTTTCTGTTCCTGTGAAAAATTCTAAACATCCACAATAAAATCCATTTTGTCTGGCAATAAGCAAGGGCAGGACTTCAAGGGGAAGTCCCCAGCACCCACCAATTCCTATGGGAGCTCACAGGACTTTTGCACTGCCCCATGCCTGGAAGATGCTGCAGCCCTGGGGTCTCTAATCAGATTCCTCCTCCCTCCCAAGATCTGTGGATTTCCCTGGGAAATGTTCCTGTCTCATCATGAGGGACTGGTACAAGGCATGATTAAACCTCTGCCACACCATCTGAACCTGCTGGGTTTCCCCAAGGAGAACAGATTATGGTGGATAGAGAAAATCATGAGTACAAAAGGTTTAAGGTCTTTGAAGCCAAAAGAAACAAATGAGGTTAAATGAAAAGGTGGAAGCAGGAATATTTGCAGTTAGTACTAAAACATGAGGAACAACTGCAACCACCTTTCAAAACACACCTCACCTGTGCCATCCCAGGGGAGTCTCTGCCTCCTCATGATTTCTATTCAAAGATTTTACATCTGTGGGGAATCTCAAAATGATGAGTCACGTGGTCAAAGGGCTTTGAAGTCCTGGGTAACTCCAAGCACGAGGGTCCAACACAAATGAGAGGTGGCTCGTGTTGGCACTTGCCATGAAGTGACAGACACACAAGGCAGTGCAAGCCCCAGGGGCTTCCTCTTGGGCACCTGTGTTTCACTTTCTCCATAACACACTCGGAGACAATTTCCTGATCCAACATCAAAGCCCAACCTACAGAAGATCAGAGGGGCTGGCAGGGAGCTTCTCCAGGCTGTCAGGATGGTCTGACCCCATCAGGGCAGTTGTCATGACTTTGTTATTGAACACTGGCCACAAACCCTGAAGCACCATTGCAATCCCTTCTTTGTTCATACCCTGTGGGTCATCATCTCCCATCTTAGGAGAAATTGGAGATGGAAAGGAAGTATCAATGGTCTAAAGCCATGACAAGACCACAGAGGAAGAAAAAATAGTCTGAGGAGCAAAGTCCTGCACTGGCCACAGCAGGACACTGAGACAGGAGGATTTTGCACTCCTGGAAGGGTTTTAACATGGGAAATAATATTGCGAAATGTGTGCATGCAGTCAAATTGATTTAAAGACATAACCCCCTGATCATATATCATGTCTAGTTTTACTTTCAGGAAACAAATGAATTAGCAAATGTAATTCTCAGCAAGGCTTGAGAAAAGCAATTTTTAAAACCTGTGCATCCAAGCATAATGTCAGAGTCTCCTGTGAGGGTTCAAAGCATCTACAGCAGCAATCTCATGTAGTTGTCCAAACACAATTATGCATAAATTTGCATTTCAGATGCTGAATACTGAAGTGCATCTGAAATGATTCAAGTTACTTTTTTCATTTTATTTTTCCCAAATGCTGGGAGTAATTTTCATTAAAGACACCCTTGAAGGAAACCCTAATCAGCCTGCAGCCATTTCCTCCAGATGAGCACACTATTGTCACAAATTGTTTTCTCAGTTCAGGTTATTTTCACTTGATACAGTGAAATACCCCGTTAGCCTATCGAAATTTGGTCTAACTTGGTTATTTTAGAATATATATTATCCTCATTTTGGAGGCTTATCCTTCACCCAAATTGCAGAATAAAAGATCTGCTTGCAAAGATGAGGCTGGTACAGCATTAACATGCAAGTGTTTCAGCCCAGCCTCTGGTCCCACCCAAGTCAGCCAGAACAAAGGACTTTGAAGTGCAACATGCCAGTTATTTTTGATGGCTACCAGTCTATTGCAATTTCTCTTCCTCTTAATGGGATGTCTCCTATTTTTGGACCAAACAATCACTTTCCGCTACAAAGACACAATGAATTATTCAAAAAATTCAAATTAGGCCTGACATTTCCAAATCGCCTTCTTTTGGCAGATAGTCAGTTAAAAAACAGTAAGATTTGCTTCCTCTGGGCTTTATTTATTCTCTGCTGAGCTCTGAGGCTCCTGGTTCATAAACTCTCCTCCTCTGAGGGCTGTCAGTGCAGACCCCCAGCCCCAGGGATTAACGAGCTCCAGCGGCTCTCACAGGAGCTGCTTTGGGAAGGAACCACTGGGAAGGAATGATTAAAGCAGGATTTCTCTCCCAAACTGAGTGTGAAGACCAGCTGTCAAGTCAGGGCAGCAGAAAGAGCCATCAGCATTCCCTGGCTGCTCCATGGTCCCCATGGCATGGGAAGGGACGTGGGCAATGCTGGGCAGTGCTGTGGGTCATGCACGATGTCTCTCTCAGCTCTTCAGGGACACACAGGTGCCTGTAGACACAGAAGAACTGGGCTCAAGTTGTGCCAGAGGAGGCCTAGATTGGATATTAGGAAAAATTTCTTCATGGAATGGGTTGTAAAGCACTGGAACATGCTGTGGTGGAGTTACCATCCCTGGAAGTGTTCAAAAAACACGAGGACATGGACATGGCTTAGGGTGATCATGGTGTTGGTGCTGGGTTGACGGTTGGACTTGATGATCTTAAAGGTCTTTTCCAACCAGAAGGATTCCATGAATTGCCCATTGGTGGTCTCTCAGGCCCTTCAAATGTGTCTCTTCAGCCAACAGCAGATGAAGAAATGCTGACTCAGAGTGATGGTGCTGCTCATCCCATAGAAGAGATTCACAGATTCGTAGAATCCTGAGCTGGAAGGGACCCACAAGGATCATCCAGTCCAACCCTCAGCCCTGCACAGGCCCATCCCCAAGAGTCACCCCCTGTGCCCCAGAGGATCAGCCAAACCCTCCTGGAGCTCTGTCAGCCTTGGGGCTGTGCCCACTGCCCTGGGGAGCCTGGGCAGTGCCCAACCAGCCTCTGGGGGAAGAACCTTTGGCTGAGATCCAACCTGAGCCTGCCCTGACACAGCTTCAAACTGTTCCCTTGCAGTTCTCCTCCAGTCCTGGCCTTGGGTGCCTGAATCCCCCCTCAGGTGCTGAGGCTGCTCTAGTCATTAGAGGTTCCTTTTCTGCAGGTACCACCTCCTGCCCTGCCCTGATTTATGGCAGGGCTTTGGGGAGAAGTTTGCACCCTGTATTGTTGATTCCCAGCGTTTATTTTGTCTGTGCTTTATTTAAGCCCGTGCATCCCCTCATTCCCCTATCAATATTAAACAGCATATTCTTCCCCACATTAAATCTAATTGCCACACATTGTCCAAGTTGCAATTATATCTTGTTTGCTGCTCTGGGATTGAAACATTAAATCACTTCTGTTTACCTGTCTCAGAAAACAGAATTTTCAATTCCACTGCCTTATGCTGGAAAAGAAGGGAAATCTGTTTGTAATAATTGACTACATAAATATCAGCCTATTTTAAACTGGACTGTCCACACTGGCCACCACAAAGTGTCTGTGATATGTCTCTCTTTAATGAAGACAATAAGCAGCAGCAACAAATGCATTGCAGACACATGTGCAGGATTCAGGGTGCAGCTCACACAGCTGGGATTTGGGAACAGCCCAGTCCCATCCCTGCAGAGCTGCTGCCCAAATCCCTGAGCCAACCCCGCCCCTCCCCATACCCCTGCAGGGAGGACCTTTGGAGGTCTCTCTTCCAAGCTGCTCTCAGGAGGGGGCTGGGATGTAATTCCATCTCAGGACAGGCCCTCTT